CGCTGCCCACCCACGGCACAGGGTGCCCTCAGCACTGTGGGCACAACACCCTGGGGGTGAAAACTGAATTCTATTCAAAACGCTGCACCTCAGACCAAGTTTTTTAACCTGCAGGTACCGGCTCTGGGGCAGCCCAGCTGCAGCCAGTGCAACAGGGACCTGCCATCCAAAATGCTGTAACAAACGCACTCCAAATCCCAGTAGTTATTGTAAAGGTTTATAGTCCTTTGCCATGATTGCATGATACATTTCTTCCCCTGTGACACAGCCCTCAGACCAGGATGCGCCGCTGGCAGCTCGCAGCAGCTGGGTTTTGCACTCCGATCTACACTAGCTGCAGAACATCAAATGCACTTTCAACATCTCCATTTAATATTTACATTCAAGCAATTAATAATTGGAAGCTTATAGTTTAGACATTTCTAATAGCAGCAATTTCTATAATAGCTCATTTAGCTTTAGATAACGATTTTTTTTGCACATAGAAACACCACATGTGTACAGTATCAAAAAATATATACGGGATGGTCCTGCGGGTCGTGGGGAGGGCAAGGGACCAAGACTAACAAATGCTCAATGGTTAAAAAGGAGAACAGAAAATAGTCGTTTGATATAGTTTATAAGGTGATCTAGGGACTCCATAAATCTAGGCTTTATATTTCATTATATAAATACCTACAAATAAATATATTAGCGTGGCCGGGGAGCGACCAGCTTTCAGCTCAAACAATACATTTCAATAACACCACGTACAAACGGGAGCAAGAATCACTTGACAAGTTAGCACTGTTAAAATATAATACTATAACTCTGAGTAACTGGCGTGTCCCATCCTTGTGTATCCCATTGCCTGCAGGTCCTGGAGCAGCCCCCAGCTGCGGGGTGGGAGCAGCGGCGAGGTCACCCCACGTGGCAGGGATGGCCACCGTGCCTGGCCCTGTCCCCTCGGTGTCCCCTCGGTGGAGACGGCGGGCTCGGCCGCCGCGGGCGGGCAGCGGCACGGGGGCTCCGGGCAAGGGGCACCAGTACCGTGGAGGGAGGCGGTGGGGCCCGCGGCCCCGGGATGGGCGGGCAGCTCCCACGGGGAGCGGCTGCCACCCCACCTCACACAGTCACGTACTCCTTGAAGGTCACAGTCAGGCAGTTTGCGGTCACATCTGTGATAATTATATTCCCAAAGAAGGGCTTGAACTCCTGCAGGGACTCGGCCTCCTCCTCTTCCTCCTCCTCTGCGGCCTCCTGGGGCTGCGGAGGCTCCGGGGCCGGTTTCTCAGCCGGTGGCGGCGGCGGCAGCTCCGGCTTCACCTGCGCCAGGGCCAGCTCGCCCTCCGCCCGCGGCTTCACGCAGCGCAAGTCTATGGGCTCGTCCAGGTCCGAGTCCAGCAGGATGACCTCCGGCTGGGTGGGCGGCTCCGGCCGCTCGGGGCCCGGGGGGCTGAGGCAGGTGGGGGCACTGATGCTGCGGGAGGTCAGGCGCTTCTTGCCCGCCTCCCGCTCGGCGTGCGGCTCCGACAGGCAGCGCTTCCGCGAGCTGCCGCTGGAGAGGTTCAGTCCCATGGAGGAAGGGCTGTGCTCGCACACGGGACTCAGGGACCAGGGCACAAGGTCCGGCTTGGTAGTGAGCTGCAAGGGCTGCTCCGCTGGAGGAAGGGGCAGCTCCTTGGCCAAGGGAGTCTTTTGGGGACCTTCCTCCAGCTCCGCAGGGGGCTGCCGGCTCTCGCCCTCTGCTTTACTCAGGGCGTTGCTGCCCACCACCCTGTCCTCCCCCGCCTTCCTCCAAGCCTCTACCTTCTCCTCCCCACCCTTCTTAGGAGTCCTCTCCTCCGCAGCCCGCTTCCGGGGAGGCTCCCCAGACTTGATCTTCACCGCCTGCATGCCGTTCTCCATGTACTTGCTCATCACAATCACAATGCGCCCATTCTTGTTTTTGTTCTTGACGATCTTCATCTTTCCCCCAAGGCCATTGCTGGTCACCCTATCCCGGGGGGGCGGCCCAGTACCACTGGACAGGTTCTTCTCAGCTCCATTTTTACTCTCTGCTGTGATGCTCTTGACTGGGCCCAGCAAGTTTTTGGCTGGGCCGTGAGCCCACTTGTCTGGGTGAGCAACCAGGGGGGCCTTGTTATTGTCCAAGCAGGCCTGGCCCTGCGGCTCTTTGCTGCTGGGCTGGTAATGGGGCTCGTACATCTTGGGGTCAGGCTGGTAGTGGTGGTGCTTCTTGCTGTTCAGCTGGTAGTAGTACTTCCCTTTGCTGTGGGACTGGTGCTTCATGCTGCTCTCCTTGCCGTTGGGCTGGTACTGGTGGTGCTTCTTGCTGTTGAGTTCATACTGGTGCTGCTGGCTCTTGCCAGAGGAGCCGAGGTCCAGCTTGGGCCTGGTGTCCACGGCCGGGTCCTGCAGACCCGTGAGGATGTTGGAGCGGCGGGCGAAGGACGGAAGCTGCAATGCAGAAACAAGAGCTGCGGTCAGACAGGGCAGGAGAAGCAGGTGCCAGGTGCCAGAGCTCCGGCAGTGCCCCTGGTGGAACCCCCACCCTCCGGCAGCTCTCCTTACGGGATGCTGCATCCTGGGGCACCGCGTCCTCAGGCAGGCGGCCCCAGCCCACTCCAACTCAGAGGCTGTGCATTGCTCCAGATTAATGAAGCAATGAAAAGAAGAAAAGCCCCCTTCAATCAGCTGTCTGGGAACGGGGGCCGAGCGGGACCGCCGCTGCCGAGCCCGCGAGCAGCCTGCTAATGCCAGCCGGGCACGGGCACGGGCACGGCGGCTCTGCGGCACGCTCCAAGGGGAGGGAAGGGGGGCTGGGGCACCCGCTGAGCTCAGTGCTGGGGGTCCCCGGGGCGTTGCGAGGTGCCCGGGCTGCGCAGGCTCCTCAGCATGATGAAACACGATGCAAGCGGCTCCCCGGGGACGGCCCGCGGCAAAGGGCGCGGGGGTGCGGGGCTGGGCGCCCGCGTTACCTGCACGACCAGCGGCTTCGGCTTGGGCCCCCGCTTGCGGTATCCCATCAGCTGCTCCTGCCGCTCCCTGCGGGAACACAGCGTCACGGTGAGCCCGAGGGCGGCACACGGACCCCCGGCGCCACCCGCCCCGCACGGCGGCTCCGGCGGTAGCAGGGACCCTACGCGGGCCAAGGGAGGGGACAGCGGGAGGGGACCGGGGCCCGCAGGTGGCAGCGGGCCGGGGCATCCTGTGGAAGCAGCAGGCGCCTTCCCCGCTGTTGCCTCCCCGCTGTGGGGAGGGGCTGAAGTTCACAGTTTGCGCCAAAACACTCCAGGAAATAAGTGCGCGGAAAGAGAAAAAAAAAAATTAAAAAGGCTTAAAAAAAAAAAAAAAAAAAGAAAAAAGAAAAAAAAAAAAAAGCCGAAGCCCGTCCAGCGCAGCAGCAGCAGCAGCAGCGCCGCCTCCTCGTCTCGCGGCGCCGAATCCCGGGAAGAAGGAGCGCGGCGTGGGGGGGCACGGCCGGGGGGGAGCGCGGCGTGGGGGACCTTGACCCGGAGGCGTCGCCCGGTGGCCCCGCGCTGCCCGCCCCGCCGGGGCCGCGCCCCCCGGCCCGGCCCGGGGCCGGCCCGCGCCCGCCCCCGCCGCGGCCCCCGGCTCCGTGACGCATCTGCAATTGCGGGAGCGGCGCGGAGCGGGGGTCCCGCCGCCCCTCCCGCATCCCCCAACCTTCGCCGCTCACCTGTTCTGGAAGGCGATGAGCAGCCGGGGGTCCAGGATGTTCTCCTCCGGCTCCCACGTGTTATATCTGGGAGAGGGGAGGAGAGCGGCCGTCACCGCGGGGCCCTGCCGGCGGGGCCGGGGTCCCGGGCACAGCCACCCCGCAGCACCGGGCCCGATGGGAGCGGGGTGTGGGGCTGGGGTCCCGGGGAGGGGGATGGGCGATGGGGGCCGCGGGGACGGTACTGTTTATTTAGCGCAGTTATTATTCCGGAGGAATTCCAGGCATGTCATGATGAAATTTTCCAAATCCCCTTTCCCGGACCCAGGAAAGCGGCCGCGGGGCGGAGGAGGGACCCGGCCGCCGCGTCCCGGACCCCCCCGCGCCCCCCCGCCCGCACTGTCATGCAAACCCCGAACGCTCCGCAGCGGCCGCGCTCGCTCCGGTGCCGGTGCTGCCCCCGCCTCGGCAGCGGCTCTCGGGGCTGCGGGGCGACGCGGACGATTTTTGCGGTTATTCCCCCTTTCTCCCCCCTTCCTGCCCCCCCCTCCCCGCTCGGTTCTGCAATATGGAGCCCGACTCCCGAGGAGGGAAAGGGGGAAGGAGCCATTTTCTGGTGCACATCAGCCGCCGCCTGCTCGGCTCCCGCCGCCGTCACCGCCGGGCCCCGCCGCCGCCTCTCGCCGCCCCGGCCGGGGCCCTTCCCAGAGCCCCATCCCCGGCCCCATCGCCGCCCGGTGCCGGTACTCACTTGGGCGACCATCCCCTCCATTTCACCAGGTACTCGACTCTGCCCTGAGCGGCGCGGGAGGCAAAGACACGGCGTCAGCGGGAACCGCCACCCCCGGCGCCCCCGGGCCCCGCCGCCCCCCGCCGCCGCCCCCCGCACCTTTCGGATCCGCTTCTTCTCGATGCTCTCCACCGCGAAGACGTGCTCGCCCACCGCCGGCAGCTCCATCCCGCAGCCGGGAGGGGCCGGGCCGGGCCGCGCTGCAGCCGAGCTGGGCTCGGGCTCCGGCAGCTCCCGCCGCCGGCCCGACAGACACTGAGCGGCGGCACCGCAACCGTGCAAATCCCGGAGCGAGACGTCAGGGAGGCGGCGCCTCCCGGGCCCGGCTGCCCGTCAGCGGCGGGGCCGGGGGATTGGCGCAGCCCTGCCGGGGAGCGAGGCGGGGAGGGGGCGGGCGGGGGCCGGGCACGGCGGCGCGGGGAGGGGGGCGCGGGCAGCCCGGCTCCCGCCCCACGCGTGACTCAGCACGGCCCCACGGGGCTGGCGGGGGGCGGCACAGCCCGCGGGGCAGGTGCGCGACCCGCGTCCCGGGGGAGAGCGCTCGGGCGGAGGGTCCGGCCGGAGGATGCGCGGCCGGACGAGCGCTCGGGAGGGCTCCACGCTGCGCCACGTCGCGCGGTGCCCCGGGCCCGGGCGGCGGCGGCGGCGCCCACCCCCGGCACTGCCCGAGCCGCCGGCGGCGGCCGCGGGGCCCGACCCTGCCGGGGAAGCCCCGGTCCCGCTGCCCGGCGGGTCCCGCGGCCGCGGGGCGCCCGACCCGGGGACGGCCGGCGGTGGCTGCAGCGGGCCCGGGCCCGGGGCAGGTGGCGGCGCTTTCCCCGCCCGGTGCCGGAAGCCGCGCACAGCGGCGGGGCCGCTCGGGGAGCCCGGTGCGGGCGGCTCCGCGCACTCCGTCCTCGTGGGGCGGCTCGCGGGGAGCACACGCGTGTCCGCGGCTGCCAGCGGGGCCACCGCGCGCTGCTCCGGGAAACGTGGCGGTGCCGGGGCGGTCGGCACCTTCCCCCGGACAGGTGGAGCGGGGCCGGACACCGTCCCGGAGTGAGCCCCGTGCAGCCCCGCCGTGCGGGCCGGCGGCTCCGGGCCTCCCGCCGCCGCTACGGGAGCGCCCCGGGCACCGCAGCCCCGGGGCAGGACGGCGGGGCCGCGGGCACGCGTGGGGTGATACTCGGGGCGGCAGGAGCCTCCGCGCCCGCTGACAACGGGGCCGTCCCTGGGGCTGGCGTGGGGTCTCGGTGCCACCGTCCCCCTTTTCCCCCCGGGCTCTGCCGGGCCGTGGCGTCCCCGCCGGCCCTCGGACGGGGCGATCGATCCCCGCGGGGCCGCGCCCCCCGTGAGGTTCCCGGCAACTTTCGCCGGGAGCGGCGGGGCTGAGCTCGAACGGGGCCCGGAGCGGCTCCTTTGCCGGGGTCGGGCAGCACCCCGCTCGCCCAGGACGTTCCCCGTTGCCCCGGGTCGGTGCCACCCCGGCCCGCGGGCTCGCCCGGGCCCGGAGGTGCGGAGGCACCGCACGGGGGACACACCGGGAGGCACCGCTGAATGTCACCGCGCCGCAGCCCCTAACAAAGACGCAGCCGCCGCGATCGCAGAGCCGAGCCAATAAAAAGCAAACTGATATTACAATTTTGATTTCCCTGGAGGGCCGAAGGGGCTTAATGTAAGAATTATTATCCATTGTGAACAGCAGCCCAAGGAAAACACACAGAGGAAGATTTAATTTTTTTTTTTTTTAACTTAGCGGTTTTCCTAAGAAACATACATTCATTGAAATTTATGCCAGCGGAGTTTGTTAACCCTCCCCTTTGACATTTCCAGCTTCTCCTGTTGCCAGAGGAGACAAACCGCTAATGCTCGCAATAAAACTAAATGCCCAGGGACGAGCAGGGTTTGGTGCGATTCCTCCCCAGCCTGGGTAAGCTGCAGAGCGCGTCCAGCTCCGGATCCCGCCCGGCTGGGAAAACTCTGCTCTGCCCAGGACTCAGTCGGGAATAGGTGATGAGGAGTGCAGAGTCTGGCTGGCTGCATATATATAAAGTATAAATTAAAAAAAAAAATTTAAATGTGTGACCAGATATCCTTGGCATCTTTTAGAACCTGTCTCAGGAGCAATACAAGGGACTGTTGATTAAATAAATAAATAAATAAATAAATAAATAAATTAGTGAAACAACACTGAAAAGCAGTATTAAAAGCATTTTAATCGCTGCCTGGTCCCTGGCTCCCATGGCTCAGCAGCAGCTCCCATCCTTCGGGTTCCAGTAGGATCTTCATCTGCTTTCTGTTACGGGGCTGATTGCCCGTGATTCACAATAATGATGGTAATGGTGGTGATTTTCTGTCTCTTACCTTGCTCAGGCAGCAGCAGTTCATGAACTGATACATCTTTCTCTTTGCCAGGCCCAAAGAGGACACCTTATTTGAACCACAGAAAACAGCCTAAATAAGGAAAGTGGGAAGCGTTTCCAACTGTTGCCTCTTGCGGACTGGCTGGGGCATATCACGGGGATGAGCCAAGGAAAAGGGTTTCCAACCAGAAGGAACAGGAGCCGAGTGCTGCCTTTAAAGCCAGCAGAGGAGTGGGTTGGCCCCGGGCACTTCCTTGCTGGCTGCTGGTGGATCAGGCAGGTACGAGGCACAGACACACCTTCCTCTCCTTCCCCACACGCCTGGCTGAAAACTCAGCTTGCTCTTTCTCTGCAGAGCATCAGCAGCCGGTGCTGCTGCTCTCAGCAGGACTCTGTCCCCGTGGAGGGCTGGGGGCTCCAGCCCCCGTGTGCCTGATCCCGAGGTGGGGCTGCTGGGTGCAGCTGGAAGACAAAACCTCCATCAGCCAGGGCAGATGGGCTTCCCGCAGGTGATGGGAACCACACCAAGGTAATTCCCTCTCCAATACTGCCTGGCCGTGTTCCCCCCGTTTGCCCAGAGCTGATGTCTGTGTTTGTTCTTTTCATCACTATTTATAAAGTTCTCAGCCTGGAGCTAGAGCCAGCTCCGTGGCAGTGCCTTGCCTGGGGTGGGTGCTGCCCCTCCAAAAGATGCTTCTCTTTCCCTCGCCCCAGCAGCTCCTGCAGCCCCGCTCTGGGTTTGCCATCAAGCAGCGCTGATTGCACATGCCATCATCTCTGATGTTACTCATTAGTCTGTATCATTATTAGCAATTCAAACCAGCAATTCTTTTCCAGCTGTAATCCTCCAGCTCCATCGAGGCGACTCCAAGGCTGCAGTTTGGGCGCTCACCTTTTCCTCCCCTCTGCCCCAGCAAGGCTGGCAGCTCCTGCTCAGTCTGCGAAGCCACGAGCGCTCCAGGCTGAGCACCAAATAACAACAGAAAGTTAATTCACGAATAGTTACAGCGTTTCCTTCAAGGCCACTCTCACAAGGGGCCAGGCACCAACTTTGCCATGTCCTTGGAGCAGGGGGGAGGGCACTGGCCCCATTCATCCCTACCTGGCCACCCGCAGCCTTGGCCAGCTGGGCTCCAGGATTTGCCCTTCTGCTTTTGTCAGCTCTGGCTTGCATTGGAACTTGTGGCCAGTCTGAAAAACGGATTATGACACAGCCCTTGCTGAGGTCAACACTGTGCTGGAGAAAGACAAGAAAAGGATGAGTAGGTAGGCTTGGAAAAAGAGACAACAAAACCAGCAAATCCACAAAAACCTAAACCCACCCACCCAATCAATAGGATGCCATGGAGTACGATGTGAACAATGAAACCCTGTTCCAGGTTGCCAAGGCAAATCTGTCAATAGAGTATTGAACAAGCAAATCTGACTTGCAATTATTGTCTCCTTCTAAATACAGGCTGCCCCTCTGCCTTGCAGCTCAGCCCCAGTGCTGCTGTGGGGAAGCTCAGTGACTGCTGGTTCAAAACGGTGAGGGAAGAGTCAAGCCTGGCAGCTGGGCTGGAATTTACTCCAACACATGCACGAAAAGCCCCTGGAGCATCCCCACCACCTTCACTGCAGCAGTTGAAGTGACACGTGCCCTGCCCCCAGTGTAATAGGCAGCAGCAAAAAAAAACCCTTTGGAAAACTGTTCACCCTTTAAAGCTTTCAGTAAAATATCCAGTGCCACAAAGCACACACAGGTGCCCACACACCAAGTGCCCAGCATTTTGTAATGCTTGGGAAAGCACCATGAAGAGCCTGAGCACTCGAGGCTGGGGCTGTCAGTGTGGTGGCCTTAAATCCAGCACAGCAGCGAGGTCTGGAGCTGCCACCACCCACCCAGAGGCAGCAGCAGTGGGAAAATCCAGCGGCAAAACCACCCTGAACTGGGTCATCACGTGGAAATTCAAACAGCTTCACAAGAGCATCGCTGCTGCTGCTGCCATGGGGCACATGGGGCTGCCTGAGGTGAATTCCTTTTCCTGGTGCTGCTTCCAGCAGGAGCCAGAGGAGGTTGTGAGCGGAATCTTCAGGAAGGAGGCACTTGCAGGAGCACACAGTGTGCTTGCACAACAGTTTAACACAGCCCAGTGGAGCAGGTTTTGTGTAGCTGATGGAGGGGCTGAGGCACAGCGGGCACCGGGCAGTGCCACCCAGAGCAGCTGTCTGGGGGCATGGCTGGGCTCCCCTCACCACTGGAGCTCAGCACGAATGAGGCAGCCCCAGGGAAGGAGGCAGCCCTGCTCTGCAGAGCTGCAGCCAGCACAGGCAGGGAGGGCAGCACCCAGAGCAGGTTCTCAGGATGCTCGGCTGGGAATAACCCCCCTTCCCCAGGGCTCTTTTCTCTTGTGCCTTCCCCCCACAGCTTCAGGCATGGGTGCCAGTGAGGGAGCCTCAGAGACCATCTGTCTTTAATCTTCTTAGAGCCAGGCAAGTCGGGAGAAATTCAGAGGCGCTGAAGTCCCTGTGTCCCTGGCTGTGACAGCACGGGGCTCTCGGCACGCAGCTGGTGGGAGCAGGTCGTGCCTGCCCCACATCCCAAGAGCAATGCAAGCTGCTGAGACACCAGGCAGAGAGTGCTGGGAAGCACTCCCACCCCCTGGAGCAGAGGGAAACAGGAACCCCTTCCCCATGCACTGCAGGGAGCCTGGTACCCTCCTCAGCCCATCCTGCCCTGCCCCTTCCTCACTGCCCCCCTCAGATCCAGCAGCCCCGGAGAGGCTTCTCCAGCTCTTCTCCCTCTTACCGCCTGAGCTGATGCTGTTCCTGGACAGCTGAGGGTGATGATGGGATTTTCTCCATCAGGCTGGGGCTGTGTGTGTCCCTGCATGGCTGCACCCAGCAGCAGCAACTCCTCAGGTGCTGGCATGGCCCCAGGGCCGCTCCTCCTGCTGACCTGCAGCACCCAGTGCCACTTGTCCCTCCTGGGCAGGAGCTGGGCTGGCAAAAGGGACCTGAACACGCAGAGCCCTGGTGGAGCCCATCTCACAGCCAGCTCCTCCTGCTGCCCAGCCACGCCAGCAAAGCTCCCTGGGGTGCAGGAGCAGCCACGAGCCTTCCTGGCTGCAGGGAAGCTGGGCTGGTCATGCCAAGCTGTTTCAGCACAGAGATTGATTGATTGACTGATTGATTGATTGGTTTGCTAAGATTACAGCCGAGGACAGCAGCAGCCCTCCCATGCTGGGATCTGTGGGTGCCATGAGCTTTTCTGGCCCTGCTCTGCTCCCACAGTGTCTGTGCAGCACCTGGCACTGCCAAGGCTGGAGCAGCTGCCCTGGCAGAGCAGTTGGATGCCGTGTTGTGCTGATCTGAAGTGCCAGCCTGGCCCCCCGCCCCGGGCAGAGATGAGGGCAGTGATGCCCACAGACAGAGCTGATAAGTGCTGGTTGGGGCTGGCACTGCCCGGGTGGCTGTGGGGAGAGCAGCAGTCAGGGCCTTGTCAGCACATGTCCTTGCCTCATGGCCCGGGCATGGCACAGGGCAGAGCTGGCACCTGGGCAAATCTCCCAGCATGGAGCCAAGCCTGGGCTGAGCCTCTGCGGGCACTGGAGTGCTGCCCTGGGCACAGGGACCCCCGGCTCTGCGGTGTCAGACCCCCAGGGCCCACCCCTCGGACCTGGGGTCCTGGCTGGGGCACCACGAGCTGTGGCTCCTGCAGAGCAGCTGGGATGGGTGCTGGGCTGGGCTGTGGGGTGTGGTGGGGTCCTGTGGGGGCTGTGGGGGCTGTGGGGTGCTGTGGGATGCTCTGGGGGCTGTGGGGTGCTCTGGGTTGCTCTGAGGGGCTGTGGTGTGCTGTGGGGGCTCTGGGGGCTGTGGGGTGCTGTGGGGGCTGTGGGGGCTGTGGGGTGCTGTGGGATGCTCTGGGATGCTCTGGGATGCTGTGGGGTGCTCTGGGGGGCTGTGGGGTGCTCTGGGGGCTGTGGGGGCTGTGGGGGGCTGTGGGATGCTCTGGGGGGCTGTGGGAGCTGTGGGGTGCTGTGGGATGCTGTGGGGGCTGTGGGGGCTGTGGGGGCTGTGGGGGCTGTGGGATGCTCTAGGGGGCTGTGGGGGGCTGTGAGGTGCTGTGGGGGCTGTGGGATGCTGTGGGGGCTGTGGGGTGCTGTGGGGTGCTGTGGGGGCTGTGGGATGCTCTAGGGGGCTGTGGGGGCTGTGGGGGCTGTGGGGGCTGTGGGATGCTCTAGGGGGCTGTGGGGGGCTGTGAGGTGCTGTGGGGGCTGTGGGGGCTGTGGGATGCTCTGGGGGCTCTGGGGGGCTGTGGGGGGGCTATGAGGGCTGTGGGAGCTGTGAGCCGGGGTCTGTCCTTACGAGAATGGCTGTGGGATCCCTGTTGGGGCCAAGCTGGGAGCTATCGGGGTGGATCGGGCAGCTTTGCTCTGTGCAACCTCAGCCCGGAGTGCTCCTGCACGGCGGCCAGAGGCTCCAGCCCTGTCCTCCTCCCCTGCAGCTGGGCCACTGCTGTGTCCAGTGGCCACCAAAAGCACCATTGTGGCCACCAAAAGCACAATTGTGGCCACCAAAAGCACCATTATGGCCACCAAAAGCACCATGGTGGTCACCAAAAGCTTCATTGTGGCCACCAAAAGCACCATGGTGGCCACCAAAAGCACCATGGTGGCCACCAAAAGCACAATTGTGGCCACCAAAAGCACCATGGTGGTCACCAAAAGCACCATGGTGGCCACCAAAAGCACCATGGTGGCCACCAAAAGCACCATCGTAGCCACCAAAAGCACCATTGTGGTCACCAAAAGCACCATCGTGGCCACCCCACACAGCCCCGTGATGCTCTGCTGCTGCCCAAAGCTCAGCCCGGGGCCTGGAGGACATTTTCACGGCCTGTGAGTTCCTGAAACCCAAAGGCTGAGGATGTGTGAGCCCCTGGCGTGCTGCACGGGCAGAGCAGGCGGGGGCTGTGGCGGGCACTGCTCTGTCACACGGGGTGTGTGGCTGGGAGCAGCCACAGCTGCTGAGTGAGCACAACTGGAGACAGAGCGGGCACTGACTGGTTAGACTGGTCCTCCAACCCCTGCCCTTCCTTGGCCTGCCCGCAGTTGGTTAAACAGAGCCAACGCTTTGGTGAGGGACTCAACAGCTCCCGGGATCCTGCCCCGTTCCTGCCTGGCACAGCGGTGCCATCCCACAGTGACGTTGTTCTGGGCTCTGCGGTGCCCCTGGCTGACCCTCGGCTGCTTCGCTCGGGTGAAGGCACTGCAGCCCAGACTGCAGTGCACCCATGGGAGACGGCTGGTGAGCAGGGCTGGGGCTGCTCCCTGGAAAGCTGCAGCCCATCTTCCTTTTCACTTCCCCTTCTCTCAGGCGGCTGCGTGTGCCCTGGGCAGCTATTTTTAGGCTGCTGCTCGCTGTCTGCTTTCCCCTGGGGATGTGAGCAGGTTCTGGGAACTCCAGCTGTCTCTCGGGCAGCACGAGAGATGCTTCCTGAGCTGCCTCCTTCACTCCCAGCACATGGAGTGCTCTGCCACTCCCCTGCAGCTGCCCCAGCGCTGGGCACGGGGCTGGATGCCCATGGCAGGAGCACTGGCACTGCTGAGGGCAGTGGGGGGGTCTCCTGTGCCAGGGTGATGCAGATGCTGTGCCAGGCAGGGCAGAGCTGATTCCTGGGGCTCTGTCACTGCTGTCACCACAGCTGTCCTGAGCCCCGAGGATGTATGGCACAGGCAGGCTGGTGCTCCTGGTGCTGCAGGGGACATCGGGAGCCCTGTGTGACCCACGGCTGTCTCAGACTCCCCACTGCGGCCACCTTGCCCAGTCACCCCATCCCTGCTCCTGACCCCATGTCCAGTTTCTCGGGCCCTGGCACAGTCGGCCCTAACCATGGGGGCACATGTCACCTGTGCCACAGCCTGTGGGGGCCACCTCAAGCCTGGGTGGGGCTGGCATGGAGGTGAGGAGCTGCTGGAGCCCTGCAGTGACAGGAGCCTCTCCTGGGGGTGGCACTGAGGGTTCACTTGGGTCACTTGGTTTCCGACACACCCTGTGGGTGGGTGCATCCTCCCCCTGGCCCACCGGGCACTGGGCATGGGGGGGCTCTCAGGGCTGGCAGTGCCAGTTGGCTCCTTGTTTCTCTGCCCCGTGGCACCTCTGTGAGCAAAGCCAGGGCTGAATCAGCCCTGCATCCTCTGTGTGCCCCGCCGGGTGCGAGCTGTGCTGTGCTGCTCTGGGGTCTGCAGGGTTTGGGGGGTCAGGGACATGGGAGGTGACACCTTGGAGCACAGGGCAGGGATGCAGGGCTGACTGAGGCTGCGAGGGGCAGGGATGGGGATGCCGAGGGGCAGAAGGAGTGGGATGAGCTGCGGAGTTCTTGGGCACCCCAGTAAGTGGGGTGGACGCGGAGCTCTTTGCTGCTCAGCCCCGGCTCCCT